ATATATATATATATATATATATATATATATATGTATATAAGAATAATAATAGCTCCCCTTACAGAATTCTGTTTGTTTATGTCCTTTAGAATTAGCGCAATAACATCCGTTTCATTTACAATCTGAGAAGCGAATACATGAGGTAAAACGCATTTTGAACCGAATTTTTGAAGAGGCGTTGTCAAATACTCTTTTGTCTGCGAATCAAAAGAAGGATTCTCAATGAGGCAGTTCACAAAGAGAAAGAGACGACTTTTTATCTAAAAACATTCAGGTGTAGCTGACGTAATCTCGGTAACTTTAGAAACAAAAATAAAGAAAAGAAAAAATCTTGTAACCGAATACTAAGTGAAGACAACGAAGACAGAGAAACTGACCATTGAAGGTCTGATGGTCTTATAACTTCTATTTTGTTCAATTAATTCAGCTTTGATAGCACTTACAACTTGATCAGCGATATAATCGACATGCCTTCCTCCCTTCAAAACTACTTGTTTTTAACTTCAGAAAAAAATATGCGAAATGAAAGCCAACTTCCAAAAAACAAAAAGAACAGGCAACTGCTCAAAAAAAATAAATTTCAGAATTTCTTCACATTTTTATCTTTAGGTTTTCATGTGCCATCCAAAAATCTTTCAAAAAAGTAACTGAGAAATGACAAAAAAAATTCACCTTAGTGGTAGCGATATTGTTAACGAAGCTAACGTGCTCAAAACCAAAATCACTGGAACCCACTGCAATCTTCCAGCGTGGATTTACATAGCAGAAAACAGATTTACTAGTAGTGAGGCTGTTCATTTGAACATCAGAATACAATTTTACATAATCTTCAAACCCATGAATCTAAAAATAATACTTCACCCACGGACCGTAGTTAGATGAAGCAACCAGTATATAGTAGTAGTTTTTGAGTAAAAGGTTGTCAAAAACTTACAAAAAAATCCAAAAGGTAAACAAAATTAGAAATCGAATCTCCCTACAAATCACCCGGAAGAAATCCAAAATACCTCAAAGCTTTGTCCATTGAAGCTGACTTCTACACCGTCTAGTGTGCCCGCGACGTCAACGGTGCGTTTCTTCATCAACTGTAAAATTGTTTCATCAAGTGCTACCATGTTAAACCTTCCTAGATCAGGGGTAAAAGTTATCCTGGTGTAATCCTCCGCTAACGGGTCGCTGTTAACAATTGGTGGATTCATCACAGTCATATTATTCAACCATACCTTAAATAAAAAGAAAAACAAATTGACGCTAGTTATTCACCATAACATTTCGCAATAAAACTGCAACACCTAAAACGCAAAAAACCTCACTTTTTTATACAAACTACTCTTAAAAAAACCTGCTTGAACCGCTTTTTCAGTTTCGACGACGACGTCTCAACAACGAATTCAGTGCTAAATATATTACAGAGTTTTGCACCAAAACCATTTCTCCCACCTAAAAAATAACCAAAGATACATGCTAGATTGAGAAGCAGAAAAATATCAATTTCAATAAAAAAGTGGAAACTAAGCTAAAAAGGTACCAACAACTTTTAACTCTGAGTCATCATAATTAGAAGAAGTAAGTAAAGTGCCGAAAATGAGGCTAGGAACATAGATGCCTTCCTCCGGATGCACTTCTATAGGGATCCCTTGGCCATCATTGTAAACAGTTATTTTTCCACTTTCTCTGGAAAAAAAAGACTATTAAGTTAAGGATGTAACGACCAAAAACCTTTTCCGAACTGTGAAATTACAGTGAAAAAAACATGCTCGTAAATCTTAGAATATTCTTTGGGAAAAAAAAAATGCAATGTGACAGAATTATTCCACAAAGTGCAATAGCAGCAGTTCTTTTTCTACCATCAGGAAGAAGATTACTTTTCTTTGAAAAAATAAGTATCAAGTTGAGTCAGAAATTCTACAGTTTTCCATCAAGCCAAAGCGCCTCTTGAAATCCCATCTAGCAGTTTCCTATTGACACACCTCATTATATTATTCAATTCAATACACAAGCTTTTCAATCCGATAACATAAAAAAACTGTTCTCGTCTGCTGTAATGGTTAGAAGAAGAAAACATTATTGAAGTTAGTTTCAGTTCCAGAGCCATTCGATGTTCAAGAGAGTGTAAAGCAGGGGCCTTTTATCTTTACCATAAAAGAATATAAAATAATCAGTTTCGGTTGACTATACTTGACAAACCTCTTAGATTTTTCCCCATTAAACTCTCATTTGTTAACGCCAAAAACAAAAAGAGTATCAAGTGAAACGCTCGAATCCAAGAAATTAACCAAAATGTATAAAGACCTTTTTTAGGTAAAGATTTCATTTTTGTCACAAGTGCAAATCAATTGGTACTACCGTTGAAGCAATGGGAAGTTACACATGATAAAAACACTCACTTTTTCAACTAATTAAACAGCAGTAGTGCC